CACCTTACAACAAGCTGGTAGGACAGTTCCTTTAAAATTAATAATATTGCAAGATTTTAATTTTGCAACAACCCTGCAAGGCTGCTCCTTTCCACCCTCCCAACAATCCTGCAAAATTGTCCCATTGGACTTTACCACAATCCTTCAAGCTGTTGTTCCTTTTTACAACAAGCCTGCAAATCTGGTCCTTTTCACAATCCAGCAACCTTGCAAGATTTTGATTCTTTTCACTTTATAATAAAGCTGCAGGGCAGTCCCTCTGGACTTGACCATGATCCTGCAAGGTTGTTGCTTTCCACCTTACAACAGTCCTGCAAGGTTGTTGCTTTTCCTCTTACGACAACCCTGCAAGGTGGATCGGTGAGGGCAGCTGGAGAATGTGTGAGCTGAGCTGAGGAATAAATTTGGATGAATCTGCAAAGGTACCCCAGTGGCTCTGATGTTAATGGATGGAGGATCTGCTCTGGCTTCTCATCTGAAGTTTAAAGTTGCTATCCAATGCTCTTGACTTATTTGTTCCTTTAAAATTTGAACTAAAAGCCAGCATGGATTCACCACTCCACAGACATTAAAGCCACCACTGGACCCCACAGGGCTGGTTTTTGGCCTGAGACAGACACACAACAACAACCACACTTCATGGTTTAAGTAGCGGGTGCTTCACCCTCTTTTTGCTCGGTGCCCACTTCCTTGGGAAATGGAGATTGGGATGTCTGAATTTCTGTACCCTTGCCAACCTTTACTACAACTCCCATCCTCCCCAACTCTTGGCCATGCTAGCTGTTGGCAATGGGGGTTGTAGTCCAGCTCAGCCGGAGGGTGCCAGGTTGGAGGAAAGCAAGCTGCAATAGTTAAGAGGCTTGGGCAATCTCAAATTCAGATGGCCTATGCCACATGCTCAGTAGATGGCCTCAGAAAGGAGGTGACAGACCCCCAGACTGACCTACCTGGCAGGGTTGTTGTAATGATTACTAGGAAAATGAAGATGGAGTTGTCCCTAGGAGGTGTACAACCACTGTGGTGTGTTATTATCATGAACATTGATTTCAGAGACAGGTGAGCAACTGTGCCAGGCCATGGGGTGCATCAATCCACATTGGGCTGTGGATATCAGCTGAGTTGAACTGCAACTCCCAGCATGCCTCACCATTACCTGGGCTGGCCAGGACTACTGGGAGATAGAGTCCAACAACATTTGGAAGGCTGCCTGATTCTTCTTACCCCTGATTCAAGATCCATGTCGGAATCAGGCTGGCCATCCCAGTGGGCAAACCTGGGGATAAGCTGTGCCACTGCTCCAGAACAAAATGTCCCAAATCGTCTTCTTTTTGTCTCCAACAATCCTGGAGAGGAGGTTGAAAATAAACTGGGAAGAGAAAGGGTGAAATGATGAGAGAGAGGTATGAGGCAGAGGGAAGGAAAGAGCACAGTGGGGGGATCTTTCCCTAGAGCTGGGTGCACAATGGGCTTTGTAGTGGAAGCAGAAGTCAGAGGCAACAAGCACCAACTTTGAGGGCTGTCCCATCTCTGCCAAGCTTCCAGATGCTCTGTGGATCTCCAAGAGTGCTGCTAGCATAAGCATCTGAGGAAGGAGAATTAAGTCTACGAAAGCTCAGACTTCCAGCTTCTTTATTTCAGTTAGTCTCAAAAGTTCTCCAAGATCTCTCTGTATACTGATTTTACAGACTAACACGGCTATATCTTTGAATTCTAAAGTGAGGCTTTGGATAGATCATGAGGCCACAGGACTCATTGGGGAAAGATGGTAATGCTCCGTGGAAGGTGGTAGGGAAAGCGGGAGTCCACACAATGGTTGATGCAGCCAAGGAGGCCACAACTCTGAGTTTGCAAGACCTGTGGATGGACAATCTCTTGGGCTAGATCTCTTGTGCAAGGGGTGGCCATAAGTCGAAGCCAACTTGCAGCCAAGGACAGCAGCAGAAGCAAAGCTTTCATGGACTGCTGCTCAATTTGGCAGATGCATTTGTCTGGCAAAAGGCGCTGAAAAAGCAATTTGTAATGGTGATGTGAATGATCCACTTTAGCTCACTTGGAGATTTCTCCCCTTCTCCCCTCCGCTGCCCCACTTTGGCAGCTCCTTCTCTCCATCTCTTCTCACATCCCTCTCCAAAGCTTCCTATTAACTAACCCCTGACCCCTGGGCTCCACTATCTCCCTCCCATTCCTTGCTGGGAGCTGCTCTTCTTGTGCAGATCCTGTGCCAGCGACTGAAGCTTTTCTTATCTCAAAGAACAGCTGCCAGCGAAGGGCAGCTGCAGTGCCAATGACCCCCCTCTCTTTTCTTTTCTGCCTGGAAGAAGGACAACTTCTCTTTCAAGCGCAGAAGACACACACAGACAAAGAGAGAGAGAGAGAGAGAGGATTTGGGGGGAGAAACTTTTCACACATTCCGTATTCCAAGTGGTAGAAAGAAGAAGAGTGGTAGAAGACCTAGCCCTCTTAGTCTAGAAAAATCAGTCTGCAAGGGGACCTTGTAGCCCCTTTGAGACTGAGAGAAAGAAGCTGGTAGCATGAGCCTTTGTAGATTTGAGTCTACATCCTCAGATGAACATCATGCTTTTTGGTGTGCACTTAAAATAGGTATGCAAAGGGATCTTGTAGCACTTTTGAGACTAACTGAAAGGAAGAAATTGATAGCATGAGCTTTTGTAGGCTTGAGTCTACTTCCTCGGACACAATTGGTGGAGTGGAAAGCCCAGGGACAGACCTATATAACAGTTTGTATGGGGGAACAGCCATAGGAACGCAAACCTTGATAGGTGTGGAGAAGCACTTTTCACCTCCTCTCCATGCCCACAAATTTTTGCATCCCTATGGACGTGAACTTTGGTAGACTAGAACCTACATCCTCCACCAAATGCATCTGAGGAAGTAGGCTCAAGTCTACAAAAGCTCATGCAGAGACAGGACCATCTCCTGCCACTTGCTCCTCTGGCATCATTTGCACATTTGTAATTTGCACATTACTTGTGCAAACTTTTCTCCAGTAGCTTGGTCCCTCCAGTGGGAAAGATTGCTTTGTTGTGCTGAGAAATGGATTATCAGCTTTCTGACATCTCCTCCGATGCAGCTTTTATGATGAGCGGCAGGCATGTCGGATGGAGCTAAAAAGGGATTAGGATCTCCTCTGGCCACCATTACCCAGGACACTCTTCTGCCTTATGAGCTGACCTGGTCCCTTCGTCCAGCAATCTCAGCTAAGCAGAAGGAATAGCATTTTGAACTATGTGGCATTTAAAAAAAATAATTGAAAGCATTAAGGTGTAAGAAAAATAAGTCACAGGGTTAAAAGGTTGCCAGAGGTTGCTTGCATGGGGAAACTTTGGGTTAACTCCCATTACTTTTAGGCTGACATAAAGAGAGCCAGCATGGTGTCGTAGTGGTTTGAGTGTTGACTCCGGAGATTGGAGTTCGATTCCCTGCTCAGCTGTGAAACCCACTGGCTGACCCTGTGGGAGTCACATTCTCTCAGCCTTGGAAAAAGGTGAAGGCAAACCTCCTCTGAACAAATCCTGCCATGAAAACTGCACAATAGCTTTGCCTTAAGGTTGATTTGAAGGCACACATCAAGAATAACAACACTTGACATAAAAAGCCATGTCACCCACTTGGTGACCTTGTGGATGTCACACTCTCTCAGCCTTGGACAAAAGCAAAGGCAAACCACCTCTGAACAAATCATGCCACAAAAAACGCATGATAAGTTTAGGGTCACCATAAGTCGGACAACGATTTGAAGGCACACAACAACAATAAATAGGAGTTTATTTTTTTAAAAATGTTTTTAATGGGAGGAAGTGCCAAGTTTTGGATAGCTTGAATGATGCTTTCCATGGTGCTGAATGTGTTTTAAATCCAGCAATGGATTCACCAGCCCTCTGACACTACTGGAAGGAAAAATGGCTTGCTTGTTGTCATCAAGTCATTTCTAACTTATGGCAACCTTAAGGTGATCCTATCATGGGCTTTTCTTTGCAAGTTCCTTCTGAAGAGGTTTGCCATGGCTTTCCCCTGTGGCTGAGAGAGTGTGACTTGCCCAAGGTCACCCAGTGGGTTTACATGGCCAATCCAGGATTCGAACCCTGATCTCCAGAGTCCTAGTCCAACACTCAAACCACTGCACCACTCAGGCTTGCTTAGCAAGAGGAAAATGAACCAAGTTGGGGGAAACCTCAGCCAGAAATCCCCCCATTTGGCAAAAGAAATTAAGCCAAAATAGACCTTCAATGCCAATCCAGTCAGATGGGCAATAGCTCACAAACTAGGGATGCACATTTTCAGCTGTTTAATCCTGCATGCAACAATGAATAATTTTCATATTTTAATCCCACTGTGGGAATCGGGGCTTTGGCACTGCATTATGAAGTAAGGTCGTTGCAAAGGTGGGGAGAACTGGTTTAAATGGCCCATGTAGACGTGCCCTAAGTGTGATTTCTTTCTCTGCTAGAGCCTCTGGGTCCAGGAGAAGAGGGCTTGTGAACGGCTGAGTTTACGCCTAGTGCATTAATTCCTCTGCTTGAGAAAACCACTGCCCTGTCTCACATTTCCCAGCAGAACATGTGAAATCCATTAGCTTACTAGGTGCTTTCTTCCAAGTCTTGTCTGAAATTGGTTTGGACTGCTTTGAGAAAAATATCACACTGCATTTGCGAGCTGAAAGGTTTGTGTGTACGCCTGCAAACTACCTTCCTACCGTATCCCTCCTTGTCCATTATGTGTTCAGGATTTAAAGTCTGTGTCCTAAGGGGATGCCTATTTTGAAATGGCAAAAGAGGTCAACTCACCTCAGGGTGTTTCTGTCGAGGAGCATTTGCCAAAACTTGACACTTCTGTATTTGTTGTTGTGTGCCTTCAAGTCCTATCCGACTCATGGTGACCCTAAGTTGAACCTATCCTGGGGATTTCTTGGCAAGATTTGTTCAGAGAAAGTTTGCCATTGCCTTCCCCTGAGGCTGAGAGAGTGTGACTTGTCCAAGGTCACTCAGTGGGTTTTATGGCCGAACTGGGCATCAAACCCTCGATCTCAAGAGTCGTAGTCCAACTCTCAAACCACTATGCCATGTTAAAGGAAGACTGAATTCTACCTATAAGAGAGAAGGAATGGGATTCTATTCATGTCCTAAACATGTGTAAAGGAGTGGTTGTACATTTTGTGTGTTTTCTTGCATGGGGGGGGGACTGTGTTTGCGAACTAATTTACAAATTAACAAAATCTGTGTTGGTCAACTAATTAACAAATGTGGAATCGACATCCAAGTCAGTCCACAAGGGATAGAGCCAGACTTATTCCTAAATTGTGATCCAGCAGTTTCACATTGGAGTCTTCCCTTGGAAGTCTCTTCATCCAAGAAGGGTCACCTTTCAATAAGCAAATGTTAGAGTGTCTGGAAAATTTGAAATATTCTCTCTCCAGTTTTTGATCCTTGCTCTTGATTCTCTCAGATTTGTATCCAAATATTCCTTTGTCTGGTGCATTTTATACAGGAGTATTCCTATGGGAGCTGTAAGGTCCTCATTGACCTCTCCCTTATTACAGATCATCATAACCCAAGCAAGATGGACTAGCAGCAGAAATAGTTGGCAAAGGGACTCTGCCTTCTTCATGTTACAATCTGCTCTGCCAAGATCCCCTTGCAAAGTAGCACTTGTATCTTTGCCAACCTAGTGCAGGATTTGAGTTTCAGGACTCCTGGGTTCTTCCCTAGAGTTTTATCCAGGTTTTATCTTAGTTTTATATGCTTGGCTTCTGCCTCTTGGCCAAAACTGTCTGATTAAGTGGGAAACAGAATATTTTCCTTTCTGAATAATTTCCATTGGTTAATTTCTCCATATTTTAAGTTTGAGAGAGCCTGAAAAAATGGGGACTTGGTGTTCTGGATTGGAACTGGATGCAATTCCAGGTCTCCCCAAGATGCTTACCAATATCCTACATCACCTCCTTAGTTATGAATGCATAACTAAGTAACATCTCTGGTCTGATCCCATCACCAACCTACTGTAGTCCCTTGGTATCCACTGGGGTTGGGTTCCAGGACAAGGATACCAACATCTATGGATCCTCAAGTCCTGTGATATGCAATATGCAAAGGAATCTTGCAGCACGTTTGAGACTATCTGAAAGATAGAAGTTGCTAGCATGAGTTTTCGTAGACTTGAGCCTCCTTCCTCAGATGCATTTGTTAGTCTCAAAGGTGTTGCGAGATCCCTTTGCACACTGATTTTCCAGACTAACATGGCTATGTCTTTGAATGATATACAGTGGCATAGTAAAATGGTGTCCTTGTAAAAAATGGCAAAATCAAATTTGGTTTTTAGAATATGTTTTGGGTTTGTGTGTGTGAATATTTTCAAACTGTGGTTGGTTGAATCTGTGGATTCAGAATCTGTGGATATTGAGGGCCATCTGTACTTTAACAGCAGCAAGTGATGGAAGTAACTTCTGTTGGAGATCAAGGCACCGGAGGATGGCATTTACAGTCCCCTTCTACTAGGGAGTGAGACCGCAATGAGGGATTATAACAGGGGGCTTGCTTCCAATTGTTGCAATGCAGTTTGCAGGTGGAAGGAGGCTGGAAACATCACTTTCCTGCACCCTGATCACCAGTGAACAGACCTCCATTGCTTGATGCAGTTGCTGGCTGTTAAGGTAAGTTTGGAAGGACATTTATGGCCACAGCAATAGTGCCACAATAGTCACAATAGTCTTGTCTTACTGAATACAGAGCAGAATTCAGAAACATAGCCATGTTAGTCTGGAACATCAGTATACAAGGGGATCTTGTAGCACCTTTCAGACTGAGTAAAAGAAGTTGTAACATAAGCTTTTGTAGATTTGGAGCCTTATCGCATTATTAAACAAACCCAGCATGAAAACAAAAAGACAAATGTTTTTCTTTCTCCATCCTCATGACGTTCATTCTCTTCATGTTATAAAAGCATGGAAGAGCATGGTAAAATCATCACTTTTGCCAAACGGATTTTTCCACCTTGGCAAAAGGGACACTTTTATGACCCTCTCCCATGCTTTTATAACAAAAGAGAATGAAAGTGTTTCAATGTCATGCAGAGGGAGAAAAAAGCCACGTGTCTCTCCATTTGTCTTCCAGGTTTGCTTATAATATGATAAGGTTCTTGGTCTGCTTCCTCAGATGCATGGAAGTAAACCAAGTCTATGAAAGCTTAAGCTACAATTTCTTTTGCTCAGTGAGTCTCAAAGGTGCTACAAGATTCCTTGTGCAAACGTGTTCGGGATATTCCCCTTTCTCAGAGACCAAAAAAAGTGCAACCTTTGGCAGAACATTTGTGTAAATGCACAACAGAGTTGTGGCCAATATCTGTCAGAAAGGGTCTAGTAGCACACTAGTCTTGAAGTGTATACAAACTATTGCCCCTTTCTCCTCCCTCCATCCTGCTCCGAGTTGTTCTTTCTGCCCTTTAATCGTATAAGGCTAAGTGCAGATCTCTGTATGGGTTATACAGCTCACCCTGGCTTGTAACCAGTTAATGCTCAAAAGCTCTTTGAAATCCCTTGAAAGAGAAGAACCAAACCTTGCCAAGTTTTTTTTTTACAATTTAAAGCTTAACCTACATTTCCTTTCCCCATTGCACAATGCAGATTGCTCTTTGTATGGCTTTCTGACTCCATTGAGGACAATCGGACCCTTTCTTCTCCAGGGCATTCTTTTATGTCTGTTTTGCTGGACACACACAGACCATCCCTTCTTCCTTGCCCCTGCCTAGATCATCTGTCCAAGCTTCTTTTCCAGAGGATGCCCCCCTTTCTCTTCCCATCAGCTGAGAAAGAAAGCCATGGAGAGCAAATGCATCATAGGAAGGGGAGAGAAGTGGATCATTGACTGCCAAGAATCCAATTTCCTCTTCCAAGCTACTTCCGTTCTCAAAGTAATTCTGGCTCCCTTTATTGGAAAGAGAATTTCAGGGAAAGTGTGGTCTGAAGAAATTGTCTGGCAAGGTGATTCCTGAAGGCTGATTTCCCAATTCTTCATTTCCAAACTTTCAGTTGCTTTAACAGGACCCACATTCCATTCCCGTAATCAAACAGAAGACACACATCACCTGAAATACTGTCTCCAGTTTTGGGCACCACAATACAAGAAGGATGTTGACAAGCTGGAACTATGTCCAGAGGAGGGTGACCAAAATGGTTAAGGGTCTGGAAACCATAAAGCCCTATGAGGAGTGACATAGGAAGCTGGGTCTGTTTAGCCTGGAGAAGAGAAGGTTAAGAGGTGATATGATGGCCATGTTTGAATATTTGAAGGGATGTCATACTGAGGATGGAGCAAGCTTGTTTTCTGCAGCTCCAGAGAATAGGACACAATGGAGCCTCAATGGATGCAAGCTAAAGGAAAAGAGATTCTACCTAAACATTAGGAAGAACTTCCTGAAGGTAGGAGCTGCTCAAGAATGGACTATGCTGCCTCAGAGTGTGGAGGAGTCTCCTTCTTTAAAGGGTTTTAAACAGAGGCTGGATGGCCATCTGTCGCAGGGAGGGCTTTGATAGTGTATTCCTGTGCAGCAGCAGGTTGGACTGGATGACCTTTGAGGTCTCTTCCACCTCTAAGATTATATGATCACCCTTGTGTCCTTCAAAGAAAAGGCTTAAAGCAGTAAGAGCTAACCATATTCAGAGAAGCAAACCCCTCTTTGTTCCCATGTGAGTCACCATTCACTGTTCACCATCCAGTTTGAGTGATAGAGGTCTGTTCAGCTGGCCATACAAGGAGGATGACATTTCCAGCCCCTTACTGCAAGCAAGTGAGGCTATGGAAACCAGAGGAGGGATCCCTCTTGTAAATTCCTCATTGCAGCCTTGCTCCCTGGCAGGAGGGGGCTGGAAACACCATCCTCTTCGTGCCTCATTGTGCTGTAGGATATCAGCACATGTTTACAGTCATAAATGGCCAGACATGACCCCCTCAAAAAAAAAAAAAAACCCTCTCCTTTTGCTACCTGGCAACATCCTAACCACAGTGTTTCTAAGGTGCTTCAGGCTGAAGCTCTGGGGGATGATGTCCATAATGTCTTCCCAGTCACAGGATGCCTTGGGAGAAGCAGGGTCTCTCCAATTACCTGTTTTCAAGGCACCCCGTAATTGGGAATGAACCCCAG